TTCATTCCTCATAGCTTAGAGAGAGGATTCTAGAGAGAAGGATTTTGGTCCATGAGCTTCTATTTTCTCTAAATCTTCTCCTCTTCCTTCTCTGATTCTCATTGTAGTTGAATTTAAGTCTAGAGGAGGCTTGAAAATTTTGTTGTTGATTTGAGTTGAAGGAGGTACGAAACTTAGGAACCCCTTATTCTTCCTCAGTTAGCTTCAAGTTTAGGGCAAGGGAAGTTGGAAAATTGTTGGTATAGTGAAACTATTGCATTGTTGTGGTTGATATTAATTAAAGTTGCTACAAAATTACATGATTTGAAGTACAATGACCTAAGTCGAGATTGAGTTTTTTTGAAGCATGTTGGTCCAAAAATGACAAATTGATATCTTGTTGTTGCGTGTTGAATTTGAGTACATTTTTTTTGTATTGGTTGTGATGTATATAGTTGGTTGGTAGTGTTGCATGGTTGGAAGTTGTTAAGTTTTAGATGGGTTTAGTAGAATCCATGATCTACATAAGTGCAAAGTGCACGTCATGCCAGTCTTTGAGGTGTTGAGCGTCATTCCAAAATGAAGTTCTCTATCTCAATCATGTCATACATAAGATCGGTGGCATCGGACATGAAGAGAGAGACTCATCTTGAGCTTGAATGGTAGCGGGCATGATTTGAATAACATTGGATGTGAAAATACTGAGAGAGCCTCTGACTTGAGTGGTGTCCAACATGGCCAAACCATAACATCAGGTGCCAAGCACAAGGTCTCAAGGGCCTCTGTCGTATCCACATTGAGTGCGGGTTGTGTAGCGTCGGGTGTGGATGAGGCATAGAGTTCCCTGTCTAGATGGCACCGAACGTTGGTTGTGTGGCAACGGGTGCTGACTGTTGAATGAAAACTTATTATTGGGTTAGTTGAATATGAGACTAATATAAGTATATGTTACATACTTTAAAGTTGTCAAGCATTGTTTATTTTATATATGATGATGTTTTGAGATAAATGGTGATTGAGAATTTAAATGTGAGTTGAGATGTGTGTTGTGAGTTGTAGAGTTGTGTGTTAATTGTGTAGTTGTGTTGAATATGCAAGAAGTGTTGTGTTGTTAAAATGATGAATGGTGAGAATGCTTTAGGTGTTTAAGCATGGTGTTGTTGAGCTGTGATGATCAACTTAGGACTAAAGAAAAAGTTTTAAAAGTTGCATATCACATGGTGTGGATATCGTGTTGTGGTGCTCCAAATTTTATTGGAAAATTGACCCTTGAAGTGGATAGCTATGTCAAATCTCCTTTAGGACTTAGTTAGTATCGTATATGGGTAAGATTGAGACACACATGTATAAAATGGCCACAATTTAAGGGTTAAATCAAGCTATACCGATTACAAGTAACTAATTAAGTAAAATATGATGTTATGAACTTAGTTCCTAACCAAGTACCAAAAAGACATAATATTTGGAAGGTAGTCAATGGGCTAATCCTATAAGAAGTTTAGTTAAGCTAGTTAATGTCGTGGTAAACTCATACCCAATTATTATACCCTGACAGTATTATTAAACTTCTTTGTTTAAGTGATAACATTCGAGAAACTAAGTTACTATATGTTGTGGATTGATATCCAAATTATTGATCTAGCAAGCTCAAAAAAGATCACCTCGTGTTGTTGGTTTGGTAGAGTTAAACTACTTAAACTGCTCACTCCTGTATTTATGAGATCTCCTATTTGAATTGCGTAACGACAAATGTAGTTGTTATGTTGTGCATATGATGTGTTGATTTACTTGTGTTGTTCATATGCATTGTTGATCTGTGATGAAACATGTTGATGAGTTGAAATTTGAGTTGTTAATATTGTGTTATTCAAGTTGACTTTGTGTTGTAATAGATGTAGTTGTAAAGATAATATAGTGGAGTGTGTTGAAATGTTGATGTTGAAAAATGAGTTCTGTTATGAAATCTTGTTGTATGTGTTTAGGGTTTAAACTCTAGTTTACCATTGTATGTTTTCATGTGTTTTGGACTACGATGATCATACGTGATATGACAGTAGGATATGGATAGGTATGGATTTGTGTTGTGGAGACCACTTGGTGGTGCTGGAGCCATATGCCTATTTTAATAACTACCTTTGGGGTGGTTATTGTATAGATAATAGTAGTTATTTAACCGACAATTTAGGCTGTATAATTACTCTGGCTAGATTACTATATACATATATTAGTGTAGTTAAATTTCTTTTATATGCATGATAAATGATACATATTCAAGGATTAATATATATACATCCTAAGTCATTGGATGTTTTTGTTACTAGTAGTTGTGTCACCTAGTACAGGGACCATTAGCGAGTTGTTGTCTTATAAAAAAATATATCATTTGAAATGTTATAAATAATCAACTATAAAGGTGAATGAAAAAAAAAAAGCAAAAATAAGTTTACCAAAACTTTTATTTTCGACTGTTAGATTTCTTACAAACAAAAAAAGTATAATGTTTAAGTGTAGTAAAAATAAAAATATTATTGATAATTTATTTATTGTCTTATAAACTTATTTATTAATTATATTGTTAATATTGTAATATGTATTTATTTTATATTATATCATATAGATAAATAAATTAATCTATCATGTTTAACAATTTTTTTTATAAATCCAAACTCAATTTTTTTAAATAAATAAATTTTTTAAAAGTCTAAACTTGACATTTTATTAAATAAATGAGATTATGTTAGACTTTAAATAAGTTTAAGATTTAGGATTTAAATTCTTATCAATTTTTATGCCTAAACCTTTTTATTATTAGTTAAATTTGGTTAGAAATAAAAAATATAAACACTTCACATCTTATTCTATTAATTTTATTTGTGATTTTGTAGTAATTTTAACAAGTAAAAAATAATTTTAAAAAAATGTATTAAAAAATATATTACTAATCCTCTAAAAAAGTATTAGAAAATAGGAATTAATGAATTATCGATACTAACCCACAAACCCCCAAATGAAAACTAGGAAGTCTGGGACCTATGCACGTAAACGCTAAGCCAAAGTCTGGACTGGAACGAAACAGTGAGAGAGACTCAATGTAACGAAATAATATTTATATGAATCGCTTGTTAAAATAAATAAAAATAAATTTTTTAGCAATACGTTATAATATAACATTATTTATATTTAATCAAATAATAGTAAAATTTAATCATCAATTAACATTAAACTTAAAACCCTAAATATTAAATCGATAATAGTTATTTATCACATCATTTAAATAATATGTAATCAAATAATATTATAATATAATAATTAATAAACATCAAATTAGTGATAAAATAAAAATGATATATTTTTATAAATAAGAAATTAAATAACTCAATTTTAAAATAAAAAATCAAAATTACATATAAAAGAATAAAAGACTTAAATATACAATTTATTTTTTATTATTATATTCATTCAGTCCTCAAAGTCATCACATTAATAATGACATTTAATGGCTCTTTGAAAAATGATATCTGGAAATATTTAAACATTTGTAGGCGAAATAAGATGAATAAAAAAAACGAAATAGAATATGATTAATATTAAGAAAAGAATTATAATTAAAAAGTAATTAACGAACCTAGTTGACTCCATCTCAAGACAAAAAAGATTAATTGAAGTGAAAAAGAAAAAGAAAAAGAGATTATTATAATTATATGGCATTGATGGAAGGAAAGATGAATGTTTGGTTTCGTCTTTCCGATGGCGCCCCTTGTAGCAGAACGCAGGGCTTGCTTTTTCATCTCTCCTCCACGTAGAAAGTAGAAAGTAGAAACCTATCGCTCTGACTCAACAAATTCCTATCTCATAGTAGTGTTTTTTGTTTTGTCAGCATTAGCAAGTGCACTTCTCTTCTCTCTCTCTGCGTTCGTTTTTTCTTCCTTTTTCTGTGTGCTTTCCATAAATATCAATCACAACAGAAGGGAAGATGAGCTGGCGCAGGGTATTGAAGTCTGCACAAGCCCTCTCTGCGCACACTTTTCTCTTGTGCTTCACTCTCTTCCTCGTTCTCAAACTAGATCACAGTATCCCTTTTTCTTGGTGGTTAGTTTTTCTTCCCTCACTCATCAATTTCACTTCAAATTTTCGATTTTTTTTCTTTATTATTATTGTTTGGCCCCACATAATGCCTATCTTGTGTTAATCATTACTGGATGAGGTTATTCCTTTTGATGATGTCTCTTAATTGACCCAGAATCTGGCATGGTTGAATTTGTTGGGATTCATCCCAAGTCCCACATCGGTAAAATGAAGGAACATTGGCTAGTTTATAAGTGTCCACCATTCCACATAGTATGAGGCCTTTTGGGAAGGAGCCCAAAAACAAAACCGTGCGGGCTTGGGCCCAAAGCGGACAATATCATACTATGGTGGTGCAAAAGGTGGACAATCGGGCCCTACAAGTGGTATCAGAGCCAACGGTTCGTCTGGGTTTGATGCGGGAAGACCCTCAGTGTTGTGCCTCGCGATGGAGATTCGAACTTGGTGCCTTGTGTCGAAAGTCTTCCTGATATTGTGGTGTTCAGGCGGCGTGTCCCGTAGAGTTAACGGCGGTACAAGATGGTGACGGATTATCGCTTGAGGGGAGGAGATCACGAGACATGTGGTCCTTGGTCTGAGGGGAGGTTTGTTGGGATTCATCCCAAGTCCCACATCGGTAAAATGAAGGAACATTGGCTAGTTTATAAGTGTCCACCATTCCACATAGTATGAGGCCTTTTGGGAAGGAGCCCAAAAACAAAACCGTGCGGGCTTGGGCCCAAAGCGGACAATATCATACTATGGTGGTGCAAAAGGTGGACAATCGGGCCCTACAGAATTTTCTGGTGAGAATATATGGGTGGTAGTGTAAATTGATTTTAAAAATAACGTGTTTCTGTTTCTGGAAACATGTGCAGAGGGCAAACCGACAACGTTGGTGGGTGTTTCACATGGGGTGAGTTCTGTAATGGAAGGGGTTTTGGTTTTTTTTTTTAATTTTTACTATTAAAAATGTTCACAGGTTGTGGAACCCGTTTTGGTAATGGTAGATTCCCATCTTTAAGGCCTTAATTTGGGGGGTTGTTAGCTGTGTTAGTTTGCCTCCTTTCTCCATCTCTATTTTGGTGTGGCTGGAGGAATTTTGATTCGGTGGTTGAGCTGGGAGAGTGGAGTGAAGTGAAGATGCTCGTGAACTGAAGTTATGGCCTACGCTGAAAATAAGTACACTTCACTGTTGTGTAATAACACTTGGTAGACCAAGAGTGTGCAAGCTTCTGCTTCAATTGGAGTGATGTCTGCGAGTTAATAAGCTAACTAAATGATTACCTGACAATACAGAGTGGGGCCGTGGTTAGGTTAAGACGTGAGTGGTTAGAAAGATACTCCATTGGTAGTGAAATGTAAAAGTGAGGCTTCATATCATCGTGTGATGTTGAGCCTCAAAAAGTCAATAGTATGTGAAGGTATTATGGGATTCAATTAAAATAATGCTTGTGATACCTAAATTATTAAATGCAGTGCAAGGACACATTATGCTGTTTGGTTTGGTGGAAATCCATTTAAACACAATCTTTTAGTAAAAATATAAACAAATGAATAAAATGTATATGGCGTCCTGAAATGTATTCCATGGTGTTGGTTTGGTGCAAGTCCATTATGATATTGGTTTGGTGCAAGTTCTTTAATATGGAAATTTGATGATTGTAATGATGTATGAAAAGTTGTGGTATATATTAGGTTCTGAGAAGATGGTGTCTGTTGATGACTGACTTCAACTTTAATATACAGGATAATATTTTCACCTCTATGGATGTTCCATGGTGTTGTGGCTCGAGGAAGGTTTTCATTACCTGCGCCATCTGCTCCACGTAATCGAAATGTATGCCATCATCATTCTTAACTGAAATTTGAGAGTTTCTATTTTGAGTTTTAGTTTAGCTGTAATATGGGTATTGGGCCATTTGACTTCCAAACCATGACTTTGTGTATTGTTCTTTCACTATCACGGATAAAACTCTAAATAAGGTGCTACTTGTTTTCTCTTTCTTTTATAAATTACTATTATTAAGTGTGTCTTTTTCTGACAGTGTTTTTCTGTATTGTGACAGTGGGCACCATGCCATGCCGTTGTTGCAACGCCATTGCTTATTGCATTTGAATTGCTCCTTTGTATATATCTTGAGAGCTTAGATGGTATGATTTCATCTCTGCATAACTAGAAATTTCCAATTGTTTTCGTGTATTTAACATGTATTGCAGTTATTTGTGCATGGAGTATATCTAAAGAAAAATGAAGTTAGTATGATAATATGATTTGTTCATCCAGTTAGCTTGATGCTCATAAGTTCCTATTATAGAATTGTGAGCATTTTGCCATTTGTAAATGAAAGACTTTTGTCACAAAAGAAGACTTAAATTTCTGTAATGGCATTTATGCAAAATCTCTAATTATACTGATGCATTTGTTCTTGCACAGTTCGTGGATTTGCAGCAGTTGATCTAAAGATAGTGTTTCTTCCCTTACTAACATTTGAAATCATTATTCTCATTGACAATTTCAGGTAAATTTTTAGGATAGTTCCCATAGACCTTAGTTTCTTTTGGTTGTTCTCTTGTGTTGGACAATGTAATTTTCTGAATTCTTTCCACCTACTAGACTAGATACTTAAGTGAAGTTTTTCTTTGAAATTTTTTAAATCTCAATTATTGATGTGCACTATTGGGTTTGTTATGATATGTTTTGTTTTAGAGCGATGAATGTGAACCCCTTCAGTTCACCATAATTCATTGGTCTTGGGGACCGTATTCATCAATTACCTATCTGTCATTTGTAACCAACTATGTTATTTAATGTGCAGGATGTGTAAGGCTCTAATGCCAGGGGATGAAGAAAACATGAGTGATGAGGCAATATGGGAAACTCTTCCTGTAAGGATTTGTAGAAAAAATAGGCATAGGCTGCAGTGTTTTCTTTTTATGAATGACCTAAATATAGTTTATTTTTCATGTTCTTTGTTGGGTTCTCTAATATAAAAAAATAGAGAAATCAAATGAATCTTGGCTTTGGTTTGTGTTTTTGTTCTTTAGTTTTTAAAGAAGCTATCTTATAAAAGATTTTTCAAAAACTAATTTTACGAGAGTCGAAACAGGGAAAGAATAGGGGACAATGCAAGGAAGAACATGAGAAATAGAAAACTGAAAGTAGGAAATCAAAACAACTTAGAAATGTATTTGTTTTTTGATTTTAGAAACTGAAAAAGAGATTATTTTTTCAGAAACTACTCTTATTAAACAATCTTTAAAAAAACAGAAAATAGTTTTCAAAAATAGGAAACAAACAGGACCTCATTTTATGGTGCTCAAGCCTACATTTCTGCCATTGACAATGTGATGTTTTACTTTTATATGGGAAAAAGTGGCTTGACACCAAAGTATTTATATTTTATCTTAAGTATACATGCCACAGTAAAATTGCATCAGGATTCAGGAAACAATGTGTGAAAGTTGTATGGCCGTCGGTTTTAAAATTATTGTCAAAACTCAGTGTGAAATTGAGGTTAATTAAGCATCAAATCCATCTTCAATTAACCCCATATTAGTGCTCTTCTAATTTAGTACTTGATATTTTTTTGTGCTGTGGAGAAACTGCTATTGCCTTTTCGAAAAAAACTTTTTATTTGAAATTGAGTGTTGTAAATTGTTGCAGGTATCCTACTTTTGGCACTGTAAAGTTGTTTAACAGAAAGGGATTGTTATGCTTTAATATACATTTGAGGATATATTTGTCATGCCACACAAATTCAGTGCAGTACTCTCTGACTGTGATGTGGATCAAATAGTTAAGGAATAGTGGAATACCTATATTAGGAAATATTTTGATTGCAATTTCTGCTAGAGTCAAGTCAAAGTTTTGTAATGTTTGTTTTTTTAAAGTATGATCTTGACTTGCCACTTTCTATAATTGAAATATTTTAAAACTTGAAATTGCTAAAGCCTCATTACACTTGTTTTTTGTTGTTTATAGCACTTTTGGGTTGCAATCTCTATGGTGTTCTTCATTGCTGCTACTGTCTTCACACTCCTGAAACTGAGTGGTAACACTTTTTCTTCTAAATGTTGATATATGTTCACCCCCCCCCCCCCTCTCTTTTTTCTCCAACCTTTATAAGTTCTGTCATTATTAATTTTCATCTCATGATAATGATGTTGTGATCTTGTGATTCCTTTTGGAATTTGTCTTGTACTGCTGTTGAAAAGGTGACAGTATATTTTGTTATATTATTCTAAAACATTTTCCATGGTGAGATAAGACTTTAGTTATGCAAATAAATAAATAGATACCAAATTTCAGTTTCATTGACTACGGTTCATGAAAATATGGTTTTCTTTAAAATAAGTGCCCATTTAGTGTGCTGGAGTTAAGTAGGCTTGATTGCTCTAACAATGAAGCATAATTTAGTTTAATATTTCCCCATTTCGTCATATATTGAGTGGCTCATACTATGTGTTATGAAATGGTCAATTTCTCATGCTTTATGCATATTTCACACAACTTGAAATATGACATAAAAGTTATTATTCATCATAAATGCATTTTGTTTTCAATTTTAATTTATTGAAACATACGTTTATATGTACCTGCTAGATTGGACTGGATGTTGTACATATTTGATATAAAGACAAGCAATGGATGGTTCTACAGTGTCAGGATGACTTTTTTTTTTTTTAAATAAATTTTAAAGAATGGAAACATGGAGTCCATATCATGCATGAAATTTGACTCTTTTGAATTTTGTGGTAACATCAAGGTGATGACTAATACATTTGGTTAGGTTACTCTTGGTTTTATATGTCTAAGATATTTTCTCATGAGTAGATCTTTCTATAACTATGGCTTCATTTTTCTTGTCTAATACAGGTGATGTAGGTGCTCTGGGCTGGTGGGACTTGTTTATTAACTTTGCGTAGGTTTCTTTGTCTTAAATGATAAAAAAAAATGAATTTTGATAATTAGCTGTGTTCATTTGAAGTTGACATAAAAGTTTTATATAAGGTTTTATTTTGCAGTATTGCTGAGTGCTTTGCTTTCCTTGTATGTACAAAGTGGTCCAATCCAGTCATTCATAGAAATTCAAGAGAAGCCAGTAGTTCATCTTCTACTACGATTAGATATCTTGACTGGAACAGTGGTTTAGTGGTTTCTACAGAGGAAAATCAAGGGAGGATGTGTAGCCTGCAAGACATAGGAGGTCATTTCATGAAAGTGCCAATTATTGCATTCCAGGTTCTTCTTTGTATGCATCTAGAGGTATGTGGTACTGAATTGTGTGCTTGGCCAGCCTTTGGAATATCGTTTTTGGAGATCTGAGCTGCTTTGTATTTCAGGGAACACCTGCTTGTGCTATATATATACCTCTTCCAGTTCTTTTTTCCCCCCTTTTCCTACTGCAAGGAGCTGGTGTACTGTTATCTGCATCTAAATTAGGGGAGAAACTTGTGCTTCTTCTACGAAGTGGAGCTGGTGGAGGAATATATTTTAGATTTTCTTCAAGATTTCATGATTGCTTGGGGTTCTTGCATCATGGTTCTAGGTAATGATTTTTCTTTTATTGCTATTATTATTAGGGAATACTTTAGATCAGAACTCTGTTGTATGGTCTGATTTCAGTTTATCATTCTGTTCCCCTAAGCTTTATTTTGTTATCACTTAATATTGTGCCCTTTTCCAATTTATAACTAAATTAAATCAATGTATGAGTACCACATGTGATATAAATTTCCTTTCCCCCTGTTTTTCTTAAATCAAATAAATTCTTGTTTACCACATTCTATTCATAAACTATTTTCTGTTAAATTTGGATCAAAGCAGCTCAGTTATATGATAAAAATATGAAGCTCAAAGATAGAGCAATTCTTTAAGCACCATGGCTAAATGAAATTGCAAAGTAATATCATGTCTAACCCTCGGAGAATTCTTGGAAAGATTCAATGTATTGCATGCACTGAACCAATAGATAAGACAATTTGTTCTATATTTTTTAATTTGGGACCTTTCATGTAGAATATGCAAACCAACTGGAAGTTCTTATTGGTTTGGTTCACATATTGAAGGAATGTCTTTGTTTTCTTCCCAGAGTTGTCTCCAAACCCCGTTGAGCAGGGAGTAATTAGATTTTTACATGTTATTTTTGCCACTATGTCTACTATGATTGTAGATGCAAATCATGTATATTGGGGTCAAATTTTCAGAAAGATGCTCTGACTAATTCAGTGCACAAACTGACCATAATATCTCCAAACCGCAAGGGAGTAATCTGAATATTTCTCCTCATTGTATTACCACTATTATGATTGGCAGTGACAAATCTAATGTCTATTGAGATTAATATTTTCAAAAAGGGAGGCTGTGATCTTGTTGAATTGCCATATGCATCATGCATGTACTGTGCTGCAACTACATCTAAACTCTGACAATTCATGCAATCAGATTATTAGGTTGGTGGTCAATTGATGAAGGGAGTCGGGAAGAACAAGCACGACTATACCATGAGGGAGCATCTGGGTAAGCATCATTTCATTTTATTACTACCTTGGTGTATACCATCTAAGAATGTAACTTACATTTTGTCTCCTACATATCCCCTGCAATGTCTTTAAAAGATACCCATACCCATTTTTTGAATTTATATTGAAGTATTATTTTTATCAGTCTGAGTTCGCTCTTGTTTTATTTCATCTTTTTTTTAAGTCCTGCCATTCATATTTAGGGTTTATGGAATTCTTATGGAAGTAGAAAATTGAAATGAATTGAATCATGTACTCCAACTGATACAATTAACATTGGGGAAGCAAATTAAGCAGCAGATGTTTTATCTTTAAGAACAAAAATAGTTGGTTTCTGTTTATTTTTCTGTTTGACACTAGAGCTTGTTTGACTATGATATATGCAAGTACTATACAAATACACCCTTTTTGCCTCCTATGATACCAGATTCATTAAGCTATTTTTGATTTTGTTGCTGTATGTTTACCTTGTAGTTTCTAATGATCTTTGTACATTTGGTTTCCCACTGCACAGGTATAATACGTTCTGTGGTTATCCTCCAGAGATTGTTAAGAAAATGCCAAAAAAGGAACTTGCTGAGGAGGTAATAACAGTTCTTATACTGTAGATATTAATTTATGGTGGAGGACATTCATGTCTATGCGTATGAATGGATATGACCTTGTGTAGTATGGTTGAAATAATCTGCATAGATTTTATTTCCTTGTGTTCATCTGTTCAATATTAGGCACAGAATTTATCAGTAAGTCAAAAACTCTGATTTCCTTCATTAGCATTCATAAAATTTTCAAATGTCAGGTTTGGAGACTCCAGGCAGCTCTTGGTGAACAGACTGAAATTACAAAGTACAGCCAACAGGAGTATGAAAGACTTCAAAATGTAAAACATCTAACCTTCATGAGTAATTTTGTTTGTCATGTGCTTATGCTGTGTGAAGAAACCTTCTACAATAGAGGATAAATGGGGTATCATTCGATTTGAATATTCTTCTGTCTGGACGCTGTTCTGACTTCTAATGTTGTAAATTAAAGTCTGTTAGTGGAAATATGAATAGGTTGCGATCATCATAATGCAATATACTGTCATTGCTGAATCATAAAAGGTGGAGCAGTTATTATGTGGTAATGTTGGTCACATTAATATGGTTGGTTGAGTTAACTCGTTATTTAGATATTGTGACAACAATTTTGAGTGGTATACTAATAGTAATATGGTTGTGACCCATACATCCGGTTAAAGTTCAAGTTTCTGATTGTTGTGATCAATGCGGTGTTTAGATTGATTATTAAATTTCATTTGACTAATTTTATTTCATATCTTGTGTGTATCAGGAGAAAGTGCTATGCAGAATCTGTTTTGAGGGAGAGATTAACGTTGTATTGCTCCCATGTAGGCATCGTGTCCTTTGCAGGTAAGATCAAATGTGTGATGTGATGGTCAATGATACAACTTCATGCATTAGCATTACATAATGGTTTTGCCTTATGCTTGATTTCCATGCACAGCACTTGCTCTGAGAAGTGTAAGAAGTGCCCAATTTGCCGCGACTCTATTGCTGAGCGTCTGCCAGTATACGATGTTTAGATGTTAACTTGGTCAAGTTTTTTGTGTTAAAAGACCACCAGAATAGAAGAAAGGGACTAGAGAACATGGGTTTAACAGGGTGAATACTTGGTACAGTTTTCGCGGTGACATTAATTCGACGCCAACTTGTTGACTGTCTAATACAAACATCAAAGGATAGGAAGAAGAATAGTGCATCCACTAAACATACTTTGGATTTTTAATTTGATTTGTTTGCATTCACTCTCTTATGTAATTTGTATATATATACTGGCTTTTTACAGGCTCTAAAAGTGAGTGTGATGAGTGTTGAATTATAGTCTCTCTTCAGTTCTTTGGTATATCAGCGTGCGCTGGGCATCTTTTTCTTTCTTTCTTTTTTTCCCCCCTTAATTAAGTATCTGAGGTTGAATGCATGTCTGAGTATGTTTACTTGATTGAGTTTGAAATTTCGACAACATAAATGTTGTGAACTCAATTCTGTTCCGATAATATTAGGATGAAATTGGGTCACGGTATATTAATCTTTAACATTATATTTAGTTAAATCGAAGAATTAAATAAATATGTATATTACAATTAAGATATATTTTATAATACATATTAAAAGGTAAAAATATTAATGTTAATATTATATTATGTTAGATAAAATAATATTTATAAAATAAAGAAAAATTACACTATTAAAAAAGTATGTAACATTAAACTGGATTGGGAATCTTTCAACGTACACCATGTCTACTTTTTTTAAACTCAATTTCCTTAAAAAATCTATTCACTCCTGGTTAATAAGACAAGATGGGTTAAGAAGACTCTTAGAAAATATAAATACAGAAATAATGCATATATATATATATATATATATTTATTTTAAGAGTAATTCTTATTAGACTTGTTTTGCTCAATAATTCATGTTTTATATTAAATTTTAATTATTCAACTATCATTAATATATAAATCAAAATTTTAAATTTTTAAAACGTTTGAAAATCATATATTTCTTTATATAAATTCAAATCAATTTATAAAGTTTTTTTTATGATTATTTATCAATTTAAATTAGTAAAATAAAATATCAAATAATTTTTAAATTTTTAAAATTTATAAATTTGATTTATGTATTAAAAATTATTAATTTAAGTATTGGATCGTTAAAATTTAATGTAAAATATAAATTATTGAGTAGAGCAAGTTAATCCTTCCTCATTAATTTATAAATCCTTTAATTATTTAATATTTTTCAATAAGTTATTATATGTGATTATATTTTAAGTTTATGAATGTTTTTAAATGAGTCCTTGACTAGAAATCTAATAAGAGTCCACTGTGCATCGAGAAATAATTAAAAATTCTCAAATAATCTATCAAATAAGTTATTAGTTTAATTATTTTAAGTCTTTAAACTATTTTTAATTAAGTTGATATACATAACAAAATTTGATCCAAGAATTCAATGAATATAATTTATTAGTTCCAAGATTTATTTATTTTTAAATATAAAAATTACTAAAAAAAGTTTCAAATAATTCAAGGAATGTAACATCAATTAATAAATTATATAATAAATATTTTTTAACTATATAAATTATATGATAATTGAATTTTGTAATAAATAAATATTTTTTATTATATAAATTATATTTTAGATTTATGATAAATAATTTATAGGCTTAAATATGTTTTTAATCCTTCAAATTTAAGGTAAATATGTTTTTGATCCCTCAAATTTAAAATTGTTATTTTTAGTCCCTATAATTTCAAAAAATCTTATTTTAGTCCTTATATTCAAATTTTGTTAAGAAATTTATCAAACATTATTGCATAAAATCTATTTATTGGTGTTCCTAGTAGTGAAAATATCACATTAAATCTGGTTGATATTGTATAAATGTCTTAATTAGTCACTTTTAAATATGTTATTGGTGACTTAAGGGACTAAAATAAAATTTGTAAAAATTACAGGGACTAACAACAACAGTTTTAAATTTGAGAGATCAAAAATAAATTTGTCTTAAATTTTGAGGGATTAAAAACATATTTAAATCTAATTTATATTATAATAAAATTATTTTGACTATTAATAATTTATTTAAAATACATTGAAATTTAATTTAAAATTAAAAGTAAAAATAAAACCTAAAAGAAACAACTAAAAATACTGCATTGAGAGGAATGGTCACTAGACTTCTTTCAATCTATAGTTTTTAAAAAAAATATTTGGCCTTCGAACTTGCAGCTCCAAATTTGTGCTTCAGCAGAAAACGAAACCTCTCACTGTGCACTCACACTATGACATAATTTAATGTTAAATAAGATATTTAGATGAAGAGGCAATGTTTTCAAATACAGTCACAACTTGCACTATTTGCAAATATTTAATATGAAATGAAAATTTGTTGCAGACATAACCTTTCTCTTCAATAACTCATTTTTCTCTACGGTAGTTCATAGATTTAGATACCCATTGCCGTGTGAACAGAAAGTTGTTGAATTTGGAGCCATAGTTACTGGGTTCAAGGCCTAAAGCTCCCAACTTTCTTTGTTTTTCTGACATATTACACTGTTTTAGACCAATTTGGTTCTCTTTTGTTGCCGATCCAGATGGGTTCGCGCTTGGAACTGTGTTTTGGTTCCTAACTCCTGTATTCAGGTACCCATTTGATGGATCTTGTTGAAATTGAAGTTGTGACTCTCATACCATGATTTTGATTACTAGTTTTGGTTGCTGAGAAAATGCATGAAGGGGATTGTTTTTGGTGGCTTATGCTTTTGTTCAATTGTTCTGAAAATTTGTTTGGTTCTTAGCCAAAATAACACAAGTAGTTGAGCATGGTTGTTTGAACTGGACTTTCTGCTTTTGCAGTGTTCCATAGAAGAGATTTCAAGTGTTATAGTTGCTGATTTTCTGCCATGCAATGAAGTGTTGTAGTACACTTCATACTTGTTTATTGTTAATGCTCTTTTTTTTTGTTCCTTTGTTAGGCTTCTGAGTTCTTTGTAAAGTGGGAGAGAGATATTTCATGTGTGAAAGTTGAATTGAACTTCTTTGACCAATGAAGATGCTGCTGGTTTTCTAGCAGGAAACGGTTGCCAAAGGTGTTGTTGGTGTCATTTTGATCAATGAAAGTCTGTATTATTAGTGTTTTTATTGGATATGAGTCGGTCTCCTTCCTTTAAAGTTAAAACAGAATTGAATCCCAGTCTTGATCCAGATTCTTTACAGAGATGGATTGTTTCCTTATGTGCTATAAGATTTGATCTTGAACAAGGCCAGCTTGTAGAAGTATGTTATCCACCTGGCTGTCTTACTCATGATGAAGAGCTGGAGGTTGCTTATAGTTCGTTTCCGGATTCGGTTTCCCAGCAACAAAACCGCTCCAGCATTCATGATTGTATTTTCTTTTTCCGGTTTCGTAGGCACCTCAAGTCTCCATCCAGCAATGCCACTCGTTCTTCCGAGATAACTGAGGTTGACAAGGAGTTTTCTCCAAAGCCCATAGAAGAAAACAGTGTTAGTAAAAGATTATCCAGTAAGAGTAGTGTTAATGTTTCTAAATACCTGTATGGCTTTGTCTTTAACAGACAGAGACATGATGAGAGGCTAAAGCGAGGAGGGGAGCAGAAGTCTGTGGTCATCTTGTCCCACAGTCCTTATTCTAGTGTGTTTAGACCTTTGTTACAAATTGTAGGCCCCTTATATTTTGACATTGGTAAGATAGCACTAGAGCATATTGCTGCATATGTTTCAACATGGCCTGATCCTATTCCCGGTAAGCAAATGGATCTTCCTATTGGGAATGCGACGCTTAAAGTGAACTTGCCGCCTGCGCACAGCTTGCACATGGAAAATGGAGTATCTTTTGATGAATCTGCTTCTCCTGTAGCTCCTTTTCTTCCGAATAATCAGTCTGTCCCACAGGGCCTTTTTCATGATTCGGATCTTTTTGGTGCTTTCCGAGGCCTTTTATTGCAGCTTTGGTTGTTATGGGAGTTGTTACTCATTGGTGAACCAATTCTTGTCATTGCACCCACCCCTCCCCAGTGTTGTGAGGCTGTTGCAAGTCTTGTGAGTTTGCTTGCACCGTTACTTTGCAGTGTTGACTTCCGGCCTTATTTTACAATTCATAACCCTGAGTTTGCACACTTGAATTCGATCCGAGAAGGGGAAACCTTCCCCCCAATGGTTTTAGGGGTGACAAATCTTTTCTTCCTTAAGGCTCTCCGTAATATCCCTCACATTGTCTCAGTGGGAAGTCTCCCTCCTAGTTCAAATAGGGTTGCCCTTTCGACTAGGTCTTCTACTGGAAGGGTTCCTGGTAGACCTGAAGGTCTTGGGCTTCAACAACTTTCCCTA